CGGCGGGGGGGCGACACAATGGCCGCAGGCTTTCAACGCGATCTCCTCACACGTCACTCCCTTCATTAAATATTGCGACCTATTCCTTCTACGTAAAAAATATTTTAATACTGAAAAGATGTTTCATGCATGTTAATATAAACTCCTCTTTCCGCATCGTTATACCGAGCAGCTAGTATACTACTCTGAATTTCACAGTCTTCTAATTTTACTGTTTCATTTCTGTAACTATACATTCAGTTTTCCTGGGTGTCATTATTTTCTTCCTGTCCTTGCCTTTAATGAGACTCCAACGCCCGTTACATCAGCATTCGAAATTGTCTACCCTAAGATCTCTTTAGTTTCCCTTCGTTGCTCCCAGAGCTCGTCCGGCGCCCCAGCGGTCAGCAAAATAACCGCGCGGCTACAACTGCGCGCGACAGCGGCTGCAGCGACGCCGTGCTCTTCATATCGCATTCCGCTCCCGCGGTCCCGCGCGGCAGCCTGCGCTCTCTGTCTGATTTACGTATATTTGTTTAAGCGTTATTAATTCCAGCTGGCGCCCGCCCTCAGGTTTATTCGGCATTACAGATATTTGAAATTCAATAGGCTACAGCCTCCAGCGGCGATGCGCAGATCGCATACGCTGTAATTGCCTTTGCTCACAAACAGCGCGTTTATGCGCCGTGCTGATGCGGGCTTTGTGAAAAAAAGTGACGAGAGCGCCTCGCCCGGCCGTTTGTGGAGTTCGTTTGGCGCCGGGAGCGCTGGGAGCGGAGTCGCTGGTGCGGAGTGGGGTGGTGCGGTTTAGTGGCTCTCTGTCGTAGTGTGCCAGACGGGTGGAACCAGAGGGGAAGAGGGTGAGGAGACGGCGAGGTCGGATCGGAGAGGCAGCGGCGGCGGCGGCGCTGGAGGCGAGGACGGATGCGGGAGTGGCGGAGGTGGCGGTGGCGGTGGGAACGACGGCGGGGTGGCGTTGGCGGTGGCGGCGGCGGCGGCGGTGTGAGGCGATGATAGAGACGAGAAGGCGTGGCTGGGGTGAATCCGACCGCGGTAAACCAGCGGCGACGGGGCCGCCGCCGGCGAGGATTCGGCGCGCCGGAAACCGATTAGCCGCACCCATCGACCCCCACGACAGCTGCGACGCCTCCCAGCTGCGGACAGCGCCGGCTTGCTGGCAGGACACGAGCCCGCAGCGCTGACCTGGAAGCGAGAAAGTGGACACGCTGGCGTGGAAGTGCGAGGGAGAGTGAAAATGGAAAAGGACAGACACTTGTCAAGGAAGGAGTAAGGGGATGTTGCAAAAGAATAATCGTGAAGGAAAACTGCGAGAGAAATCTCAGGAGAATGGAAAGGTGTCTGAATAAATGGCATGAAAACCGCAAAAGTATAAAAGAATACATCGCGTATTATAATCCAAAGGACCCTTTCAAACATGGCAAGTAAGATGAAAAGAACACGAATCAAAAAAAAATTGAATCGTAAAAGATGACCAGATATACCTTTTTTGTTTTCAAGAACATTACAAAGAGAAAGTGCGAAAAAATATTGGAGAAAATAGAAATGAAGTGATGATAAATAAGCTTGTAACGAAATAATACGTTAATCTGATTTTTCAAACAATAGTTACATTGTTCCAGAATACATGCAAAAAACTACTACGATGAACAGAAATGAGAAAATAATTATTTTGCTGAAAGATGACAATAGTAGAGAGATGAACACATGGGGCACTTAAAATGCATTGGTCAAGCGGCCTCCTTGACCAACTAGATTTTGGACTAAGAGGATATTACCCCAGCTGCGAGTGCGAACATGAAAAGGATGTGAGTGGTGCAGGGGAAGTTCGGCAGCCCGCACATCCGTGACTGCCGAGAAGCATTTAGAAATATGCCGAAAACATGAGGGGATATTCAGTTTAAGAATTAATACTACGTTAATACTAGTGGAGAAAATAATTTGAAATTAATATTTGATTTCGTTACATTTATCTGAAATCTTTTTTTATTTCACTTAATTAAGCTCTGTACTCAACAACTGCATCTTTTTTTATAAATTGATAAGAACCTCTCGTATCAGAAAAAATGCATTTTTCTCATATTTCCAGTGTTCTCAGTAATATCATCTCAATATAATAGCAGAATTAATTACACTTTAAAACTATTTGTATGAATACTGCAGAAAAGTTTCACCCTCAAGATTTTTACGAGTATTGCTGAGAGTCGTAACAAGTGCACTGTCATTATAACAAAAGATTTTTTAAAGAGACTAGCACAACAAATGTGCATAATACACTCTTACGTGTTCATATTCGTGACACAGTTTTTGTCCGCCTGTTTCGTAACACCTGCATTCGTCACTCTTGTGGAAGAATAGCTAGTAACGAATTGGAGTGCACAGCACATGTAAGTATAACTTTGGAAGGCTACAATAAGAAAAAGAGGAGCGTGAGGTGCAGAATAAGATGAATAATAATAATAATAATAATAATAATAATAATAATAATAATAATAATAATAATGAAGAAGAAGGATAAGAAGAAGAAGAAGAAGAAGAAGAAGAAGAAGAAGAAGAAGAAGAAGAAGAAGAAGAAGAAAGAAAGAAAGAATGACAGAAATACGAGGAATAAATTTTGACTTGAAAATGTGAATAGAATAAACACAAAGTAGAGCTTCTGAGAATTACAATGGTTAAAAGGCACGACAATGATTAAAAGTACTACTATTCTGTGGTATAAGCCCTTTCTAGGACAAATCTCTACGTAAAAGACACATTGTACAAATATCAACAGTCGCTACACAAATAATGAGAAAAAATTACATGGAGAGAGAGAGAGAGAGAGAGAGAGAGAGAGAGAGAGATTATGAATACTGACTACTCAATTATTATGTAAAAACACAAGAGAGTGCTCGATGTCTGACAAGAAAATGAGAAACTGCAAGAAGACAAGGTGGTGACGAAAGAGCAAAAAAAAAACCTGCAAGGTTAAATGAAGGAAAGCCTAACTAAACGGCTCATCACGGGGCGAGCCTGGTGGTTCGTGAGAAGCGAAGGGGCGGGCATCATGGCCGGCAGACCCACCACGCGGGCCGTGGCAACGGACGGGAGGGGGCGTGGCGCGGCGTGGCGTGGCGTGGCGGAGCCGCTCGTGCAGTGACTGCTGGAACACAACCAGAGGCGAATTGGTCAAAATATGTCATAGTTATTCACCGCAGGCGATATTCACTAAAAACTAGGATTAAGTCGCTACTAAATATTCAAAGAGCTTCGATGGATCTGAAATAAACACATTTAACAGTGAAGATGGCAAATTTAGTTCTTAAACTAGTGATGCTTGCAACAGCACAAATTTTCTCGCATATCTATAACGGCTACGTCATGTTATAATAATAACTGAACCTACAAAATTGTTTCCGATCATTACAATTTTATCTTTCACGCTGCAATTCTAACTGAGGTGATCGGTTTAGCAGTGTATTCACTTAACCTCCTCCTACACCATTGGCCTCAGAGATACAGGAACCTCCCGACGGCCTCAGAGATATACGAAAATTAAAGATGCGCATTTGCAATTTTCAAAACTACAAAGTTCAACGAAAATAGGACCTGCGCAATTTATAAATGCGCACTTTCCTCTAACCAAAAAAACTATTTGAATGATAAAATGAGGACAGATTTTTGAAAAAATTTTGCAAATGTCATTGATGCTTCCTCTCAAGTACCCATTAATGAAAATATGTTTCAAATTCAAAATGCTGCGATACATTGACAGAAGAATTTAAATTTTATGAAAATTCTGCGTACGGTTTAGCCCCTAGCATTGTTCACAGATAGGAGGGACGGAAGGATAGACGTTTTGCCGTACACTAATTTGTAGCTACCAAGGCTCCACAAAACGTAGATTCGAATTACACGGTGTTCGAGGAAGTAATTAACTGCACATCAAAGTAGGTATTAAGTGCATTTCCAGCATCAAAGACTTTTTCTGCCCAAAAATCGCAGTTTTTTGCAGCATTACATAACTTTTTCTGTACTACGTAAGTAGTATACGACCACGTAAAAAGTGCAAAATCAGTAGTTTTAATCGAGTGACGGACTTTCTTTTGTGTGCAATTTCACCACTTTATATTCACTAATCACTTGACATTTTCTTAATAAAATCTTTTCCTATTGGTTGCGATGGCTAAGAGACAACACCGTTGTATCTGACGAATCGTTATCTGTAAGGTCCTAGGGTTGCAGTTCCGACAGTAAAGAATTTTGGAACCCACTAAAAAGCTCAATCATAGTCAATCATTGTCTCGAGAAGAACGCTAGCGACCGTCTTCTCTGATTAGTTATTTTCTGTTGTTTCCTCGATTAATACCTCGTGACTGCATCAGTACCCTAACAAACGCGCCATGGACCAAGCGCTATTTTATCATCATCCTTATGCCCTCTTCTCCCCTTCCTAACATACTGACACACGCATATGCCGAGAGTCTATTCAGAAGCTTAGAGCTTGCCCCTCCTGGGGCAGCTCCACTAGGGGAGATACCTGATCGTGGAAACCCCCTCAAGTGGATGTGTAGATCGGTGACTGATTTCACGTTCCAGCGAAGGGGAAGCTTCCTCGCTACCTCGCGGGCTGACACACGCGGGACTAACGACTACACTTGCGGGACTAACGACGTCAGGAGCCGACGCGGCCGGGAACCATGCTCACTCACCCACTCAAGTTACCGACTTTTGTCCGCGTGTAGGGGCTGTTGGCGCGCAGTGCGGCGGCGGGGCGCGCAAATGAAGCGGCGCGCGCCCTGCGAAACGAGCCCCTCGCAAGAAATGCGGCGCGCGTGCGGAGCGCTTTCCCGAAGGCGCGCGTTTCTCTCGGCGGCGGCGGGGGGCGAGCAGGTAGAGGGCGGCGGGTGGGGGGCGGCGTGGGGGGCGCAGGGGGTGGGCCGGCGAGGCGGGGCGTGACGGGGTGGGCGCGGGCGGCGGGGTGGCGGGGGCGGTGGCGTGGGGGCGGTGGGGGGCGGGAGGCGGGGGCGGGGGCGGGGGGGCGGCGGGCGGTGAGGGGGCGGAGGAGGCGGGCGGGCGGCGGCAGGGGGTAGCGGCGAGGGGGGGGGCGGGCGCGGCGACGGGGGGCGGGGAGCGCGGGCGGCGGCGGGGGCAGGGAGGCGGTAGGGGGCGTGAGCGGGAGTAGAGGAACTGGCCGTGGGCGCGGGGGCGGCGGGGGCGGCGGAGGCGGCGGGGGTGGCGGTGAGGGCGGTTGCGGAGGCGGCGGCCCGTAGCGCGATGAGGCTGTGGGGACTGAGAGGGAGAGAAATACGGTGATGGATCCGAAGCGGCTAGCTAGGGAACGTGGTGGACGTGTGTGTGAGTGTTTTGCTAAAGTGGAGAGGCTTACCGGTGCGATATGCGATTCAAACGCGCAACGCGGCAATTTCACGACGAGATACACTTTGTTCAGCCACGTGAACGATTACTTTGACCTTTTGCGATGTGCTATCGAAGGGGCGTGGTGGGTGAGTCACATGGAGAAATGAATACCCTTTATTTCACGAACGTTGTGTTGGGGATACAATATTCCCTATTTTACAAGTCAGCATGCTCGTAGACAAACTTTCGCCTAATTCTGTATTTTTAAATTAGAAATCTAGCTCTTTGCTATTCAAATGTTTTTGCGTATAATTTTGGAGATACAAATATATCAAATCAACTTTAATAATAATCAACTTTTGCGTTAAATTGGTTAAATTAGCAATTATTATTCTTATAATATTGTTGTTTATATGAAATATATAATAATAATAATAATAATAATAATAATAATAATAATAATAATAATAATAATAATAATAGGTTCAGACAGAACCAAACTGTTTCAAGTTCGAGTTTAACAAATAGAGATGAGGTACCAATTTTGTAATTTATTTTAGTCCTTACTTTATGATAATTGTCACGTGTTTCTGAATGCGGTGGAACGCCCTGATTTCTGCGTGGATCTTAAGAATGATTCTGTAATCAATTTCAAATTACATATTTCATTCACAAATTTATTCATTTTAGAAGACTCAATGAATCCGAGACGCCTGCATTCATTGCTTCATAAACATAAATAGCTTACAATTTTTGTTTTCAGCGCAAAATTTTCTATTAAGATCACCCAGTAAAGTTCTCGTAGCAGAAAAAAAGTTTCATTTGTAGACAGCACTCACTAAATAAGTTTGATGCGCCTCAAGCATTGTCAGCGGGCGGAAGAATACATTTTGAGCGTTACTCAACTGTTTTAAAACCTGTCAAAATAATCATCCGCAGGGGCTCAAACGTGAATAGTAATCACAATGTGATAATAACACCTCAATGAGGTAACAGCCAACTACAACATAGATTGCATGTAAAAAATTCAAAGGCATAGTGCGACAATGTGCATATTGATATGGGGTCGTTTGACTGCAAAACTGGAGTTCGAGGAACCAAGGTCGTGTCCATATCAGAATGCGATGTGTCAAAGAGTCGGTAGGGGAGGAAGTGATACCCGCAAGCAAGTGAATTCAGCTGTGTCGACATTGACGTGGAGAATTTGTAGTATTTTCATTTGAATACCAGTATTTCAGTAGCATTTCAATATTGGTACCGGAAGATGTATATTTAGCGCATTGAAATAAATTGTTTGTATGAAAATTATCATTTTTTATGAATGAATGGAGCAATGTAATGAAAGGAAGAGGAAACTGAGAAAACAATAGAAAACCTGTAGCAGCTTTAGTCCGTTCCTTACAAATTCCGGAATAGTCGGGATATGAGCTTCTGTAGGCAGAAAAGCAGTGTTAGCGCGGGATATTCGCTATTTTACGTGTTCAATGAAGCGGCGTCACGTCAATGGAGGCCCGTGCATTGACTGTTACCGTGTTTTGTTAATTAAAAAGCCAAGTGTCCAGAAGCAGCATCCAGATCGTCCGAGAACAAACACGAAAATCTCAAAAAGTGAGAGGTTTTCTTTCCGTAAAACTTTATCAAGATTAAAACAATAAGAGCTTGAAGGGAAATATAACCAGGTGCAAACAAAAATTTATAACTCGAATTTTGAAATAAAAAATACTCCAGTAGAGTTGAAAAAAATTGGATTGTTAATAATACATTTTATTAATACTCTATGAAAACCTCGTTTAAGTCAATGTAAGGGACAATTCAAGAACTTTTTCATGCGTCAATTTATTGCGTTGACGTGAAAACAGCATTCCAAGCCGAATATTCACGTTGAAGGTAGAAAAGCATATTGGAAATTCGTATAAGTTGTCACTCCCACATTCATGAAATAAACAAATGCAAACGAAATGAAAAAAATTAAATGTACTAAACTTTTTTCTCGTTTTGTCTCAATGATGAGATGACATACATATCGGTCGTCACAAGAAAGAGCGCCCTACATTCTGCCTCTGAATGATGAATGCCAGTTACGATGGGATTACCGTGTTTCCGAAATTCTCATTTTCATCGACTCCGGGACGTGCACTTCGTTGAAATTCATAGTCCGCGATTCCAAGCTTTAAACCGAAATGCGGGAGCGCCCCCAGCGGCGGAGCGGAGGAGCAAAAGAACCGGAGACGTTAACCCGTTTACGCGCGCCCG